TTTTGGTATTTTACCATAACTTTTCTCCGGTACCTCTAACAGCAGCAACTGCATACTCACGTGAATCCCATGCTAAATAATAAGATAGCTCGCATCCATACTTTGTACGCATCATCTATCTGATATCATTTGGTCTAGGCCCTTCCTTAACACCCTCATACCTATGCATAAACAGTTCACCAATTGTTTTGGCTGAGGCTGTCTTACCAAAATCTTTTTGGCTTGAAGGAGAACATGTATGTTCRGCAACATACTTGTTGACAACGAAATATTTAGATCCCTTTAAACAAATAGCACGTAAACCCCAATTGCAGTTGTTTTGTGCACAACGAATAATCCACTTCTCGGTATCAGATTTTATGACCTTGTAGTCAAAGTTATGCTCCATTGCACAAATTTCCATAGTAGCCTTCAAAAAGTTTTTACTTCTGAAGTGTTGCTTAATCTTTATAGCTTCCACCAAAGAAAACCGGACTGTCTTAGCACTGTTTCCTTCCTCTTCTGACAATACAACATCGTCACCATCACCAACATCAACCTCAACGTTAGAGATATTGCCTTTGAAGTGCTCGTTCTTTCCATTGGCACTCACAAATTCGAAGTGCTCTTTCTTTCCATTGGGAGTCACAAATTCTTCATCTTTTTCACCCAAACGTCTTTCATCTTCTCCATTAATTGAATCCGCAGGTGGCTCTTCATTTAAATTAAATTTTAACAAGGCTTTACATGTCACACACAAATGTGTTGATGGTTGATTCCTTGCATAGCCAACAAAATTTCTCACTTGACCATCAGTTGCAATTATAACTGGGGGAGATTCTTTGTTGTTGATCAACTCGCTAGGTAAGTAGCTCAACTCGAGATCAACACTGTTATCTTCGATTCCGAACTCCTCTGAAACCATCATCTGTAGCTCTTCAAAAGTATCATTAGATTGAAAAACAAGCAATCTACCTCCTTTTTTCCCATCCACAAAAAATTTCCATCCATTAGTGGACGATTTTCACAAACCCCAAGTTGCATAGATATGTAACATAGTAACC